CTGAAGTGCCGTTCCCCAGGGGGCCCCTGCCCAGCACTGAACTTGCTTGTGCACTTGCTGTCCCTTTCCCAGAGCCGAAGCGTCGGGTGCGGGTGCCGGGGGCATGGAGCTGCCAAGGACAAACTGGGAGGGTGTTTGCGAGGGAAGGGGGGAGAAGGAGCTCTTGACGTGCTTTTTTTCCTTCTTCATCCCACAGAATTGCCACGGGAGGAAATACTTCAGAGGGGCTTCCCTCCGGATAAGCCCTGAATGTGCCAGGAGGTTTCAGCCGGGAGGAAAGGAGCTGTGGAAGAAAAGCAGCCTAAAAATAGCCAGCGGGGATCATCAGGTTTTCCAGCCAAGAAGCACAAGGAGAGAGATGAGGGAATGGGGTTCCAATTCCTAATGATTTGGTGGGTGCAGGAATGATTTGTGTGTGTTTTCCAGTGCCTTTTGATTCCTGAGATGGTTTTAAAATGATGGCTTTAGCAATCAACTAAATCGGAGATGTTGTTTCTGGGAGGAAATGGTGCCAAATAAATGCAGAGTTTTGGGTCAGGTTTTGGGATGATTTGGGGTCAGTTTTGGGGTCAGTTTTGGGTCAGGTTTTGGGATGATTTGGGTCAGGTTTTGGGGTCAGTTTTGGGTCAGCTTTTGGGGTGATTTGGGTCGGTTTTGGGTCAATTTTTGGGGAGCACTGGGTGTTCCTGGGGGTTGTTGGGGAGCACTGGGTGTTTACTGGGGAGCACTGGGAGAGAAGATGAAAAATAAAGAGAATAAAAAATAAACGAAATAAAAAAATGAAACATAAAAAACAAAAGAAAATTAAAAAAAAAAAAAGGCAAAAAAACTAAAAAGGAAATAAAATGAAAATGAAATAAAAGAGAAAAAAAAAAAAGAAAAAAAAAAAGAAACCCCTTCTTGGGCACCCCGTTTCCTCTCCTCCCGCCCCCCGACCCGTAAATTGCGGGGTCATCACCCCTCAAATGTGAGACGGGGATCCCAAAATGCGGGTGGGGGAACCCCAGGGAGCCGAAAAAGCGGAGGGGGAGCCGCAGTAAGAAAGCGAAGCCGGGCGGTCGGGCGGCGGGGTGGGGGGGGGCAGGCAAGGTGGCGACGGCGGCGCGTGCGCAGTCGTTGGCAAGACGCCGGCGATCACGTGGTAAGTAAGGGCAGCCAGGAGCGGGACCGGCGACGCATGCGCAGTGGCTCTCGTGGCGGTGCAGCGCTCCCCGCTCGAGTTAAGGGCCGGTTCCGGCGGCAGGGCGGGACTGGCGGTCTCCCGTCTCTGGCGGGGTGTGTGTGGGGGGAATAACGTGAAGATTTTTTGGGGTGAAAGCGCAGAAATTAGCGAGGAGGGCCGGTAATTTGGGTAAACTCGGTCACCGGAAGTAGAGAGCGACCGGAAGTCCTCCAAGGCCCCGGCCCGGCAGTCCGCCAAGCCCACAGTAAAGATGGCGCCGCCAGGACCGGAACGACCACACTAAAGATGGCGGCCCCGGCCCGGAAGTTCGCCCCGACGCCACACTCAAGATGGCGCCGCCAGGACCGGAACTTAGCCGAGGCCACACTCAAGATGGCGGCGAGAGGCCCCCGCCCTGGCCTCAGAGAGGCGTCTATCCTGTTGCCTGACCTCCGCCGCGACCCGGACCCCCGCCCCGCGCCCGCAGCGCCGTCTCGCCGCGCCGCTTCCCGCTGTGGGGACGGGGCGGGGCGCTCGGCGGCGCCGGGCGCGGGCGGCAGGTTCGCGGGCGGCGGCAGGCACCGGCGCGGGCAGACCCCTCTCGCGCCGCGCCGCGCCGCGCACGCGCGACGATCCCACGCGGTCGCCGTCCTCCCGCCCCGTTCCGCCCCGCCCCGCTCCGCTCCGCTCCCGGTCGGTCCCGCCGTGCCCCGGAGATGCTGTCGGGGCTGCGCCGCCGCCTCCCCCCCCCCCCGGAAGCGACCCACGGCGGCAGATCCGACGTCGGGCTCTGCAGGAGATCGTCGCCGGGGTAAGCGGGGGCCCGGCGGGGGGGCGGCGGCCGCTCTTCTGCCTCTCCCGCGGCCAGCGGGGCCTGCAGGCAGGGGAAGCGACGGGCAGCTTTCTCGCCTCTGCGGAGAAACTTGCACCTGCGTGCCGCCGCAGGGCCGGGTTCGGATGTGCCCTGGCATTGCACACGCACCACACCCCCCCGCGGGGAGGGTCTGCGCTGCCTCGGGGACCCTGTCTGTGCTGCCGGGAGAGAGAAATCCTTTGGGAAGCTGGGCTGGAAACAGCAACTCTGTGAACTGCTCAGCTTTTCCTAGGCAAGGGCAGGTTTTAGGGAAGAAAGGCCCGGACGCGCGAAAGGCGCCGCGGGTCTCGCCAAGGGGGGGGGGGGCGCGCTGCAGCTGCAGTGCCGCTCCCGGCCGTGTCCGCCAGGCGGCGACTGTGAGGCAGGGCCCGGCGCTCGGGGGCGCTCTGGCAAGCGACGCTTGCCCTGGGAAAGCGGCGGGCTTTGGCCACTGCCGGCCTTCCCCCGCAGTGCCCGGGCTGGCCCAGCGCCTGGCAAAACCTCGTAGGGAAAAGGCAAGCAACACCTGCGGTGGTTCTGCCCTTTCTTTAGCCAGGGACTGGAACACAGACAAAATCAAGGGGCTCTTTGACCTGGGCAGGCTCCCAGCATTTTTCAGCCTTCCTTAGCAGGGCATTCTCACCCTCTGAAAAGCTGAAAGGCTTTAACAGCTGGAGACGCGCCTGCAGCTGTGCAGATTAATGTCCTTTCTTTTAGGAAACGAAGGGGAAGTTTTCCTGTTGTGAGCCTAAATACCGAGTCTACTCTGCTTTTTCAATCAGGTGACGAAGCTTATGGAAAAAAAGACCAAAGGCCTCGAGGTGAGTCCATTCTACCCAGTTCTGCTTTTCTGGGATCGGGTTGGGAAAATCACGTGAAATTCTGAAAAGCTTCTCTCCGTGTTTTCTAGTTGTTTTTTCAGCCTTGGTGTAAGTTTCATGTAGAAAAGGGCATAGAATTGTTAGAACAGAGAAACACGACTTTCTCGGGAGAGATGGAAGAAAAGGCTGCTGATTCCAGTTCTGCTTTTCTTGTCTTCTGTTAGACTGTCATTTTCTCTCCCCTACTGTTCAAACAGGCAGCAATTAATTGCTCTGCTGAAGAGTTTGCTGTACTAAGTGTCTGTCAAATCGATGCCTTCAACTCAAGATAGCACCTGCTCCTTAGTTACAAAAAGCTCCTCACAGGAAATTTTCAGGCGTGCCCATAAACCTCCTGGCTGTTTGTTTGGGAGTACAGGGTTTTCTCGTCTGTAACAGAATAGTCGTGGCATTTGCTATGGAATGCTGGTGGCAATCTAGTCAGAAGAGGCCCCCGTGCTTCACTAATTTTGCCTTTTTGTTGTTCAGGGTGACTTCTTCCCAGGGATGTTCTTCTTGACCCCCCGGGGCAAACGGAGGTGTCAGCGTCAGGAGCCATCCTAACTGAGGCCCTGGTAGGTCAGTGCTTTTTGTGTGACCGGACGGTGAAGCTGTCTGTGGGAATGACCTGGCTAGTGCTCGGTGTGGTCCTAATTAAGGTGTCTTTTACTCCGTGTTCCCAGGCTCCCTCTTTCCCTTCGGTCGCCGTGGGTGTGCCGGACGCCTCTGGCAGGACTAACCCCGTGGCTTTTCTGTCCAACGTGCTGTGCTGTGCTGTGTGTGCCTGCAGGTAAGAAAAGCGGGGAGTGCAGTCCCTCTGCTTTGCTCGCTGTGTCTCTTGGGGAGTGATTTTGGAGGGGAATCCCAGAGCGATTTGGTTTGAAGGGGACCTTCAAAGGCCAGCCTGCCTTCCGTGGGCAGGGACACCTTCCGCTCTCATCCCCGGCTGGATGCTCCCAGTCCCGTCCAGCCCGGCCTGGAACACTTGCAGGGATGGGGCAGGCTCAGCTTCCCTGGGCAGTGTGCTCTAATATCTCTGCACTGGCATCCTGAAAAATGTCGTCAGCGTGTTTTGTTCAACGATGGTAAGCAGGACCCGGGTGAAGAGGACATTCTGTTAGGTGCAGAGGGAAATAATTCTCCTTTGAAGCCAAATGGATTCAGATTTGCACGAGTCTTGTCTGCCTTATGTTTGAATTGCTTTCTATTCTAGGCAGTTGTTTTAAATTAAACTTTTATTTTGTGTCTCCCCCCCAGTATCCTGTCCAAGACAAAGCTACCTTTCCTCGTGGGAATGGACCGGCCGGGCTTTGGCAGTCTGGCCCCTCGAAAGCCTTAAGTGACCTCTTCCAACAGGGGAAGACTGAAGCAAGCGGTGCCAGACAGAACTGGAGTTTCTGGAGAATAAAA